CTAAAAAGAAGGCGAAAATAAAACTATTTAAGGGCTCTGTTTGTTCCGATCGATCTATATAAGCATAGCGCGTATGTGGGTATCGTACGAGTGGAGAGAATGGAGGGAATCGAAGCGGAAGGAGGCGTAGTGAAGGGGTTCATCGGTGCGATCCGGCCCCCGAGGTTGGAGGACGCCGGCCTGGAGTACTGCGCCCTCCCGCCAAAGTCCATCATGGAAGCCTTCTCTCGAGCTGCCGCCTCCCTCAAATCTCGCGTCGCCGCGTCTTTCCCCGGCTCTGCAGACGACTACGTTGACGGAGAAGGCGGTGGATGCGTTCAGGAATCCGGCCCCAGCAACGGCCAGATACCGGACAATTGGTGTGGCAATGGGGGAAGGGTGGCGGAGATCGAAGGCGCTACGGATGAGGTGGTCGTTTTTGGCGCCGGAGGTGGGGAGATGGACAGAGACAGGGTTGTGGTTGTGGGTGGAGCAGGATATGGGGGAGAAGGCGGGGAATCAGACTTTGGAGGCAAGGGAGGCTGCACCGGTGATGGAAGACCGCTTCCAGGAGTGGAGACCGGGCATGCCCATGGAGATTTGGACGACGATGATGAGCATAAGGACGGACCTATACTTATTGAAGGACTGATCTGATTATGAATTCTTGCCAGGGTTCAGTTCCTCTTATTAGTACTATGCTTCCATTGCTATTGTTTTCAATCTCTGTTTTTGTAATTGTTGCAACGGAATTAGAATATTTTTGTTTTCGTATAATGTTTGCTAACAAAATGTGCGTTCTGTGGCGATCTTGCTAGTTCTTAAGTTTGCAGACTCACGAGATCACAAAGTATGGTTAATAAAATTTGATAGTGATGGTTAAGAACTTGAGATGGAACGTTTTTTTTATTTTTTTTTATTTTTTATTTTCTTTAGGAAAGTATCGTTGCATCACTTTTTAACATTTTTTAGAAACAATATACAAAATGAGTATATAAGTGAAAAGGCTTTCGTTTAGGAGAGTAAATTTTCTATTTTAAGAAAGTTAAATGTAGACCTAAAAAGATTTGGTTATAAAATATTATAAATGATATTTCTTTACTATATCTAAATGAGAATTTGACTCTTAATCTGAAATAATGGAGAAAAAAGTCTCATGTAGTCAACCCCACGTAGTGAGATAAAGAATTGATGTTGTTGTTCTTGTATTATATATTCAACATATAGCTAGCATTTATTTATTTATTTGTTTTGAAAGTTGAGCTATAATATGGAAATTTTGTTTGAAATTGTTGATTAACGCACTCAAACCATTGTGTTAGGAAATTGAGTCCTTGATCATGGGAAAAATTATTATGTGCAGACACCGGACGGTGTTCGGAGACCAATCAGAATGCACCACTTTTTTTTTTACCGGTACCGCTGTTTACCGGGTAACATGGTGCATTCTAATTGATCTACGGATCGTTGGTATCTGCACAAAATAATTTCTCTGCATCATGATTTTTTTTTTAGTTTACTGTATGGAACAACTACTGTGCATTGAATCCTTGTAACTTACGGAAGAAATCTATCTATATTTCTCGAATATTTCTTGGAAAAGGGCAGATTGGCTTCAAGTAAAAGATGTGTAAAATATTTTAAAATATTGGTGTTTATTTTGAAGTAAAAAAAACACGGAATAAAATTTTGAAGTATTTGAAATGCATTGTTTAGTTCAATTTTAAAATATTTAAAAATTATTAAATTTGAACAATTTTAAGTACACTATAAATTCTCTATTACTGTCCATTAATGCGTTAGTTATTTAGCAATGGACAGTTTATCTATATTCAAATCATATGCCAAGCTTCTGACTCCTGCTACGTCTTCAAAAAATTATCTTGATCGGGTACGAATCTCGAGGCAAAATCAATTTGGAAACTTCCAAAATTAAAATTGGGACTATCCGAACTCCAATTTCAACAAACTTATATTCGAATTGAACGTCTTGGAAATACGAACCCAACGACACCAAATTCGACTCAATTCGAGTCCAAATAAGTCTAAATCAAGGACCCGAAACATTGTTGGAGGGTTCAAAACACAATTTAGATTATCAAACAGTTTCCAAATGTGACATGCTTATAGTCAAATCGAGCGGCTCAACGAGATGAATCCAACGAGCCCAAGATCACGGAATTCCAACATCATTAAGACTTTCAAATATCTAGCAAATGGTCTACAATCAAGGGATTCAATATCGGTCGTCCATCCAAACTACTCCCCATTTGCCCTTGATCCTCCTCCTTTTGATAGGCCATGCAACTCTAAGAAATCTATAAATAGACCCCTCCTCCCTCTTGAAAGGGGGATCCAAGCAAGAGACCAAGAGAGAGATCGAAGATCGCTCTTACCTCCTCTCTCTTCCTCGACCACCGCCTGGAGTTCCGCCGTACCACCACATGAGGCCCTGAGTTCTGTCGAACCACCACTTGAGACCATGTGTTTCGCCAGGCCACCAATTGCGGCCCTGAATTTCGTCGGACCGCCACTTGAGGCCCTGAGCTCCACCAGACTGCCACTTGAGGCTCTGAGTTTCCCCGAACCACCACTTGAGGCCATGAGCTCCACCGGACCAACACTTGAGGCCCTGAGTTATGCCGGACCACCACTTAAGGCTCTGACTTCTACTAGACCACCACCTGATGCTTGGACTTCTGCCGGACCACCACATGAGACCCGGACTTCTTCCAAAACACAACCTAAGATCCAGACTTGTCAGACCACCACTTGAGGCCTAAAATTCTACCGAACCATCACCAGAGTCTCGGACTTATGCCAGACCACCACCTGAGGCCCGAACTTCTGCCAGGCCACCACTTGAGACCTGGACTTCTACCGGGCCACCACCTAACAACTAGAGTTCTACCAAAGTTTCACCCTACTACTACGGTCTTTTCCTAGTATCTTGCTGAGTATTGTCCTTTCGACCTCCATCTCCTACTACGACCATTCCGACCTCCATCGCCAGACAACGTCCTTTTTGACCCCTTTCTCCCACTAATTATGGCCCTTTCAACCTCCATCGATACTACGATCCTTCTAACCTCCATCGCTATACAACAGTTTTTGTGACCCCGATTTTCTGCCAACTACGATCCTTCTGGCCTCCCTTGCCAGAAAACGATCTTTTAGACCCCTATCTCATGTCAAGTACAATCTTTTTGACTTCCATCCCCTACTATGGCCTTTCCGACCTCTATCATATCGACTATGGTCCTGCTGACCAAATAAACATATTTATATTAATTATTGTAACCCCCACCATGTAATGCGCTCTATATGACGTATATTTGTGACATCAAGCCAAGACCTTCTCCCAAGAAAGGACCTCATTTGTAATCAACTGAAAATACTAGTCGATTCATTCAAAATGGGCCATGCCCTATGATTTTTCCCCCTTTTCAGGGGTTTACACATAAAAATCTTGGTGTCTCTTATAAATGATGCACCCTTTATCTTTTATTTTTGTGCGTGCTAGATCTTTGTGCTCCTCACAAACAGGTTAATGGAAGGGTTGATTATATCATACATATGACTAATCATTGAGGATAACGGCTCTCGCTAGTGCACCTCGATGGATAGTAATATATATTACCTGATCGTAACGACGGGTTTCCCCCACCCGATATATCAGCTCTAGTGGGGTTTAGGTGAGGAGGAGTCCAAGGAGCTCACAAAAGTAAAGGCCCGGGCTTGGGCGCTCTTGAGAGAAAGAAAATAGCAAAAGCCCCCTAAGAAGTCCTAATTTTCTTTATTTAAAGGCCTAAACTTATCATCAACAGCCAAGATTGATCCTCGTGCTCATTAAGAGGGAATTAGACTTGATTTGGTCAACTGGGTTGACCCAAGTTATTGATCTGAGCTCAATGAACTTGGTCTAACCCATGGAACCTAATGGATGTGGTTTAGGGGCCTGGCTTGGTCAATTTGACTATGTCAACTCCTTTGACCAGGAGCTTGAGCAAAAAAAGAAGGTCAATAATAGATTAATATCACCGAGCAGGGCTCTGACATACAACCTCGGATAGGTTACACATTATTGGTGGATTATCTCGACATCTTTCAGACATGTTAACATTATCGAGAATGGCTCTGACATATAACATCAGATAGATCAACCATTCTAAGAGGATGCTAATAAAATCTTAAATCGTTGATTTGATAAATATACAATCTTTATTATGTCTCAATCACAGGATGATCAATCCCAGGGAGATTAGATCATACATCATTAGTGGATTCTCTCGTGCTATTTCATATATGTTAACATCATCGAGTAATGCTTTGACATACAATCTCAGATAGATCATACATTGGTGGATTTCGACCTCTTACATATATGTTAACGTTATTGAGTAATGCTCTGACATAAAACCTCGAATAGATAGAATTCTACGTGACGCTAAAATGCCTTCAATCACAGACTTCTGCCCGTTGTGGGATTTTCGTCGGAATTCTGCCCGACGCTGAGCTTCCTCACATTGCTGTCAGGTTTTTTTGTTTTGATTTTTCTCCTTTTTTTTAATTAAGCCTCTTCACTGTATGCTATATTCTATCTGAGGTTATTTTCTTTTTTTTTTTTCGTACATGTAAATCTTTACATCAATAAAAACGGGCCAAGCCCATACTTTAAAAAAAAAAAAATCTTAATTTGGCTAAAAAGAAGGCCAAAATAAAAACTATTTAAGTGTTGTTTGTTCCGATCGATCGATATTGGCACAGCGCGTATGTGGGTATCGTACGAGCGGAGAGAATGGAAAGAATCGAAGCCGAAGGAGGCGTAGTGAAGGGATTCATCGGTGCGATCCAGCCACCGAGGCTGGAGGACGCCGGCCTGGAGTACTGCGCCCTCCCGCCAAAGTCTATCATGGAAGCCTTTTCTCGAGCTGCCGCATCCCTCAAATCTCGCGTCGCCGCGTCTTTCTCCGGCTCTGCAGACGACTACGTTGACGGAGAAGGCGGCGGATGCGTTCAGGATCCCGGCCCCAGCAACGGCCAGATACCGGACAAGCTTCTTGGCATCGGCGAGATGTTTCCGCCGGCGTTCCCTTGTTGTGGCACTGGGGGAAAGGAGGCGGAGATCGAAGGCGCTACGGATGAGGTGGTCGTTATTGGCGCCGGAGGTGGGGAGATGGACAACGATAGGGTTTTGGTTGTGGGTGGAGCAGGATATGAGGGAGAAGGCGGGGAATCAGATTTTGGAGGCAAGGGAGGCTGCACCGGTGATGGAGGACTGCTTCCAGGAGTGAAGAATGGGCATGCCCATGACGGGGATTTGGACGACGATGATGAGCATAAGGACGGACCTATACTTATCGAAGGACTAATCTAATTATGAATTATTACTAGGGTTCAATTCCTCTTATTAGTAGTATACTTGCATTGTTATTGTTTTCAATCTCTGTTTTTGTAATTGTTGCAACGGAATTAGAATATTGTTGTTTTCGTATGCTATTTGCTAACAACATGTGCGTTCTGTGGCGATCTTGCTAGTTTTTAAGTTTGCAGACTCACGAGATCAGAATGTATGGTTGATAAAACTTGATAGTGATGGTTAAGAACTTGAGATGGAACATTATTTTTTTCTTTTTTTTATTTAATTTCTTTAGGAAAGTATCGTTGCATCACTTGCATCACTTTGTAACCTCTTTTAGAGACAATATATGAAATGAGCATATACGTGAAAAGGTTTGAGTAGCTCCAATGGCAGCTAAGATTAGAGAGAGTCACCTTAGATGATTTGGTCCCATAAAACAGCGACCTTCCGATGACCTAGTTAGGAGAGTAGATGTATTAGATTTAACCTATGTTAAGAAAGGTAGAGGTAGACCTAAAAGACTTGGTTAGAAAATATTAGAAATGTCCTTTCTTTACTAGATCTAAATGAGAATTTGACTCAATCTGACACAATGGAGAAAAAGGATTCAAAGTTTAGCATTATACTGCAATTTTGTTTGAAATTGTTGATTAATGCACTCAAACCATTTTGTTAGGAAATTGGGGCCTTCACCATGGGGTTATGTCATTTAGCACTATAGCTAATATCTATTTGCTTCTAATAGTCAATCTAATCTTTAGCCCAAATCCTTTTTAGCTTTACAGAATATCAAGAAATATATGCATGAGATGACAAAACATAGACTTATGTTTAAGGTTTTTTAGGTTTGCCTCTTTTAAGCATGCAACTATAACTTTAAGTTTGCTTTATCATCTCATGCATTTGTTTCTCGAGATTTTGTAAAGCTAAAAAACTTTGGGCTAAAGAATTTGATTGAGTGTTAGAAGCCAATAGCTATGAGCTATAATGCTTGAAGCTATAGCCTCGACTCTCGAGGTTAGGGCTTACCTTCCTACCACAGTGCCGTGCGTTTGAGCGCTAATGACTAATTTCTAATAAAATTGCCATATAATAATTGAACATCCATAATGAAAAAAATAGATATTAGCTATATGTTGTAGATGCAATATTTTGTCAATGTCCATGAACCCATCAAGAAAAACTTGCAAGATGAATGATGATCTGGAAATAAGGTTGACTCCTACCTCCTCTGACTAATTAGTTTAATTTTTTCAGTAATCCTATTTCTATTGTTTAAGTTCCTTTTTTAGCTTTTATATGATTGACTTTTTGTGGTTGATGCTTCTACTCTTTTTTTTTTTAGGAAACCATAGTAACTCTATATGGTAATTTTTTTTTCATGTTATAATTCACACTGTATGTGCAATACTGCAATGATGACAATTTCATGAATTTGTTAGCCGTTTTGATAATTTTGATCACATAGTTCCTTAGAAGTTTGGTCATAAGTTTTAGAGTTGCCATGAGATTGTGCTTTGTGTCACAGGAAAATTGCGTTTTGAAGATTTCAAATCAGTTGGGTTGTTCCTGTAATAAACATTTATAATTTTGTGTTATCCTTCATAATAATGGATATTTACCTTGAAAATGTACTCTTGTTCTTCTAATGTACATTTATATATTTGTTTCATCCTTGATAAATGACATTATTGTATTATTAAAACGAATGGTTTTATTTGGCTAAAACTTAACAATGCATATCCACAAAGATTTGTGAAAAACACAGATAATAATCCTCCCCTTGAATATAACTATTCAGATATTCAAATAGACAGTAAAATTCTTTGGAGTTTGTTAATTTTGTCAATCTTCATGGTACATTTTTTTTTACTAATATGTCTTTATTCCTATGTGTAGCATCAGTTTTAGTAGCTCTAATTATCTTGTTTTATTTCATAAACAAATTGGTTGAATAAGATGCTCTCATTTGGGGTGCCTGGTAATGAAATCTTGAGTGGTTCACATCCTCACATGACTTTAATCTTGAAAGAAAACTTACAATATAAAAGTCCCAGATATTGGAGTGCCTCTCGGTACAAACTCAGAATGAATACTCCTCACCTTGGAAATTGGCATGCTTGCAGTTGTGAATCTCCATTCTCCCCTTCTTGACTAACTGGGCTTAGGAGGCTTTAAATTAATGAAATTTTTGAAATTTTATAATTGTCAGCCTCTGTTCATTGCTTTCTTTGGTGGCTTGGTTGATGTGTGTTCTTGGCCATAAATTTTTGTTATTGACGTTTTTTCTATAATATACTGTTGATTATTTGCTTATGTGCATGATTAGATTTGGGCAAAATTTGTACCCATTGGGGTTTTTGGCTGCAGCATAATTTTTAATTTGTGTAGGTTTCATTGATCGTAAATTTTTATGCTAAATTTCTATTTAGATAATCATTATATTATTGTTTGCGAAACCTTTTTACACATTTTTTAGTTTTCGCCAGAAAAGGTGAATCTTTATTTAAATCGAATGGCCTTTGGATTGTAAATTTCTATTTTGTGGCATGATTTTGTGTGTTATAAATTTTGAAAATTAGGTAGATAACCTACTTGACATTAAATAAGAGATAACATTACATCACATTCCCTCACTTGGGATGCTTTTCCAACTAGTTTTAAGCTTCAGCAAATGTTAAGATTTCATAAGCCTAAAAATGTCTATATATTAGGCAAGCATCTTCTCATCAAAGCAATCAAACTCAATTTGGTGCACCCATTACATCTAAAGGTAGTTACACTATTATCAGCAAAATCACTGAAGAGAAATGTATTATTCTTGCATGACTAAAATTGTTGCTAACATTTGTTTTAAAATTTATGCTTACTCTTATTGTTCCCTTTCTTGTCGCCTTGCTCGTTGAATTGTCATTTGTTTTCTGCAGCCGACAGCCTAGCGGGACTCCAAGTTATCTAGTAGCAAACATCATTGAATTGCATAGGTAGTACGCCAAGGATGCTTGGATGATTTAGGGCACTTCCCCTCAACTCGTCCAATCAATTTATTGCCACAAGGCCCGGAGGTTGGATCGACATGTTTATTCTGTTAATACTCACTACATGTGTAATCTTAGGATTTGTTTGCTGTCTTATATTTGTCTATATATACTCTGTTTATACTGTAATAATTGTATCCCTATTTTTATACATTATCTTCTTCCTTTACCCTTTCTCTCCTCCGTTCTTCAATGTTTTCATGGTATCAGAGCTTGGCATCCTTCTGAGCACCTCTTTTTCCCCCAACTAATCTTCCCTCCCATGGATTCTTCATTCGCTTCGTTAGCCACTGAACACAATACCCCTCACAGTTCCAGTTCTTTGGTGGAAACTTCTTCGATCCCCCCCTTCCCCCCAATTAAAGTTCTTGGTTAATAATATCAAAAGTATTGTCTCAATCACTCTTACCTCCGATAACTATCCCATCTGGTAGTCGCAAGTCTTCAAGCTTTTTCGAGTTAATGGCTTTGACAGGTTTCTTGATGGTAGTTGTTCTTGCCCTACGCCTACATCTTCGATCGTTCCTAATACCTATTCCTATCAAACCTAGCTTCTAGTTGATCAAAATCTTACTGCCGCCCTTTACTCCATCATCTTGTCTACCCTTTTACCCTATATAATTTCCTTGGAACACTGCGCCGAGATCTGGGAAACCATCTCTCGCCGTCTTTAGTCTACCACTAGATCTCGTATCATCCAACTCAAGAATGAGCTCCACCATATATCCATGAAAGATCAAACAATGACACATTATCTTCTCAATAGTAAGTCCAAAGTCGATGCTATCGCTGCCATTGGAACCCCTCTTGATCCATAAGATATTATTCTCTATACATTGAACGGTCTCCCCTCTCAATATCAAGCTTTCAAAACCGCTATATGCACTAATCTCCAATCGAAAATGTTGGATGATCTATATACTCTGCTCTGCAGCGAAGAGTAGAACATCGCCCAATATGCCACCTATGAATTACATAATCTGTAGCTCTCTGAACCCACCATGGTTCTTACCACCTCTCGTGGCTGTGGAAGAGGTTGTAACTTTCCAAATCGTGATTGTTCCTCCTCCACAAGTCGATCCGCTCGCAACTACTCTGCTCACAATGACAAGAATTTAACAAATTCCATTAAATGTAAGATTTGCTTCAAGAAAGGTCACTCGGCTCTTCGTTGTTGGCACCGTCATGATTCCCCCTACAATGAAGACTCTTAGAAATTTGCGCTACTTTCTCATCCGAAATCCTCCATCAATTCCGACTGGTTTCTTGACAGCGGAGCTACCAATCATCTAACCTCTAATTTCTCTAATCTCAGCTCACCCGAGCCTCATACTAGCTCCAATCAAATCATCCTCCGTAACGGACAACATCTTCCCATTCAACACTTTGGAAAGGGTATTCTTTCTACTTCCATTGGTAACCTAAATCTTCGTCATTTCTATCATGTTCCAAATCTGCCCTAAATTGATATATATTCATCGTCTAACCTCCGATAATCAATGCACGGTTGCTTTCACTTCTAATGGATTTCAAATTCAGGATTCGAAGACCGGCCGCCTTCTTCTTCAAGTTCCTTGTCTTAACGGCCTCTATCTGCTTTGATTATCAGCCCCTAAACAATATCTCGCACTGATCTCCACTCAAGCCATTCCAAACCTCTGGCACCGACGACTCAGACATCTTGCTTCTCTTACACAGCAACACTTAGCCAACAACATTTATGTTATTTGTTTTAGCTTAGCATATTATCATTGTAATTCCTATAAAATGGTTAAAAGCCATCGTTTACCTTTTCTTAAATCTCAAAACTTTGCTTCTACCTTTTTCGAATTAGTTCATTCGGATGTTTGGGGATCTCTCCCGCCACATCAATGCAAGGTTATCGCTATTACGTACGTTTATTGATGATTATTCTAAGTTTTGTTAGATTTACCCTTTACTTAAGAAATTTGAGGTCATTTTTAAATTTATTGAGTTTAATAAAATGATCGACCATTAATTTAACAAACGAATTATAACCTTTCGCTCGGACGGAGGTGGAGAATTTATCAATAATCAATTCAAAACTATTTGTAAACATTGGGATATCAATCATCAATACTCGTCCTTATACCCCATATCAAAACGGAGTTGCGGAACGCAAACATTGACACATATTAGAAACAATACGGAGTCTTGTGTTTGAAGCTAGTCTCCTGCCCTCTCTTTGGGTAGATGCTTTAC